AAAAAAAAAAAAAAAAAAAAAAAAAAAAAAGGAAAGAGTAGAAGACGGTTTGCTAGTCTGTTATATTACTCGATAGTTGACAGCCAAGGAGATTCAATCAGTCACTTCTACTTCTTCTTTCTCTTGATATTTCGTCTTCTATGTTATTTATAACGCCGTTAGACATGTTAGGTTACGTGTTAGCTGTTAAGTATTAAAAAGAGTGCGCTCGATGCGCACGACGCGAATGCTGCGGAGGAACGAGTGTTAGCTTATATATCGGTGATCTTCTCGCAAGAAGTGACGCGAACTGTTCTTTCTCTTTTTCACGAATCATCAGCGACTTTGTTGTCGTTCTCTCATTAACTCGGTTATCAGTATTATGGGGAAGAGAATCGAAATGTTATCCATTCATCGTCGCGAAACACGCGATTCGCAGACTGCGGATGTTAACGAACGTAATCGAAGGAATGGAAAGACTAAACTAGTGATATATGTATTTCTAAATCGATATTTTGTATATTTTTACATGTCGTGTATATTCTACGCGTATTTAAGTTTTCCATAAGCGCATGAACATCCGCAGTCTAAATCATAGGGTCATTCAGAGTCGGCAAAGCTTATCAGTGTTTATTGTTAATTTATTGTGTCGATCGATCAACATCCTTTTCACGAAACACAGCAATAATGATACCAGAGATTCTAAAACGTTCACACGCGGAAGACAGTGAATTAGACACGAAAATTATAATCAGATAATCATCGATTCTTGCTTCTTGCTTCGAAGACTCGCTAACAAGGTATTGTTCAAATGAGATTCGTAGACGACATAAACGTGCAACCCGATTACCTCGATTTTAGGAAAACTTACTAGAGCAAAAGAGTACACACGCAGTTTACCCTACGGTTCGTTTAATCAACGAAATGCGAGACGATATTCAATCAGCATTCCAGAAACGCCTGTGTGCAAATCTATTGCGGAAAAAATATATATATACATATATATATATATTATATATGCAGAATGGATAAAACTACGAATCATATATTGTGATGATCACATTAAACGCAACAGTCCTTTTTGTACGGTTAATTTATTGAAATACGATGATGATGATGATGATGATGCCATTTTACAGTTCGAATTTAAGAAACAATACAATGCAATTTACAAGCAACGAATTACAAAACGGAAACACGCTGATTCGATCTTTTTGTGGACGAAAAGGGAACTACATAGGTGTACATATAACGCACAATACGTGTATGCGCGATAATGTATAGTAGATCGTTTTTATCTTTATTATTTTTATTAATTACTTTTGCATCTTGACGCGCGGTAGCTGTTGTGATAGATGCTTTCGGAGGGACACGATGCGAAAACGCCTGTCCCAAAGATGATAATTATTTTCAAACCGAGGCCAATATTGTAGGAGAACGAAACAAAACGATTGTACATAATCAAATACGAATATAGTATTACGTGTCGGTTTCCATGGGAGGGAGGGAGTGTTTCCTTTCTTTTTCCTTTTTTTTTTTTTTTTTTTTGTTTTTTTTTTTATTTTTTTTTTTTTTTTTTTTGTTTCGTTTTGTTTTTTACATTAAGGTTTCTACTTTTTTTTCCTCATC